GAATGCAGCTTAGTAAGTCGTCTGAATAGTAGATGTGCATACACAGGACACACAGAGGGTGTGTTTCTTTTTTGTATTTTGTGGTAGTGGACAGGGAGTGAAAGAATAAAGCCAACATTGAGCTCTTGAATATGACATAGATATACTTGCAGCACAAAGCAACGGAAAGCTGTACATTTTCTTTCTTCTTTCCTTATAGGTCAGAGCTATGAAAACCATATAGATCCTCATCTTGGTTTTAGTTGTAGTTGGGTAGGTTTCTTGGTGGTTTCATAGTAGGGCCAAGTCTACAGTGTCCCAAGAGTCTGATAAATACATTTCATTTTGCTAGGGAGATATGCTAATTTAATCATGCTAAATGTTATTATCTTGCATCTGTCTCATATAGGGCATTCTTGACACAACATTTTTCAACAATCCTACCTCTGTGCCTAAAAGCCAAAACTTCTGAAAACGTTGTTTTTACTATTGTGGCAAAGTGGGGCTCCCCGCCTAGCCACAGTGCTAGGTTCCCCACTTGCCTTTGGCCATGCCTCCCACCTGGCTCTCCTACCACGCCTTGTTCTTATTAATTAGGATGTTAATTAAGCAGGAGGCTGCCCATTTTATGGCCCAATGCCGGGGAGGGGGGTGCTATCTGTGGCTCCGAACCTCCCTTACACCGCAGCCCATGCCTCGCACATGGTATCCAGCTGTTAGTCACACCAGCCCCACACTGGGCTCCAGAATCCTCCTATCAGGACCCCCCTTTGATCCCTTCTCTCAGGCAACCTACTCCACCATCATTTGGGCTGCTGAGCTCCCTGTAGCTTTCTCCCCTCTCAGGCGTGGTCCCCCCGGGACCTTGCACATAGGCCCTGGCCTCACCTCCAAGGCCAGGAGGGACCCCAGACCCTCAGCTCTGGGCATCTCTTGTGGTGTTCCCTTGGCCCTTTTGACCTTCCTGGTCCTAGCATTGACCAGTCAGGGGGGCACTCTACCTCCAGCCTCTCTCACTAGCCCCACTCTCTCTTTTGGGTCCACCTTCCTGGATGTGGGAGCTGGGGTACCTCACACCACAACTGGTGCTCCAGGGTCTCACAGGGGACTCTCACTCCTCCCCCCTTGGAGCAGCAGCTTGTGGTGCTACTTAAGATATTACTTTTGACCCACATTCAGCCTCCCAGCAGTGGAGGATTTACCGGGGTCAGGACTCGCCCCTCTCTCTCTTGGGCTGAACCCCCTCTACTCAGCCTCTGGCCCAAACTTCAGCCTCAGGCATCCAAAGACCTACCTTGGCCTACTCTCCTCACCTGGGGCTCTAGATCTCCACCCCCTTTACTCGGGGCTACTGATCTCTGCCTGCTTTCCTCGGGGCTCCACACCACCCCCTCGCTTGGGGCTACTTATCTCTGCCTCCTTCACTCAGGGTCATGGGGCTTCGCTCCCCAGTGGGCTCAGGTGGCCATTGCCATGTCTGGCCCCAGCTTTCCCTCTTGGGGTCTTGCACCCCAACAAGGCTCAGATGACTACAGCTGTGCCTGGCCCCCACTCTTCTCCTCGGGAATTGCACCCAGATTGGGCTCAGGTGGCCGCAGCTGTGCCTGGCCCCAACTGCCTCCAGTGTCATGGAACCCACCCGAAGGTGAGGGCTAGGGTTAAGGTGCCCCTACCCGCCTTTCACCGGGGTGGTAACTGGCCTGGCATTTCCTGGTGGCAGGGTGCAGTTTTAGGTCATGTCCAGGACCAGGAGCCTCCTAGACATCCCCTGCAGCTCCTCCCTTACCTGCAGGATGATACACAAAGCCTTACAGCCAGGCAATGTTACTGCCTTCCCAGCCAGCAGAGAACTGAGCTCTTTATATAAGCAACCAGAGATCTAAAATGACTACCTTAATCAAGCACCTGCTGGCTGGTTAGCTTTGGTCTTAAAGTGCCTTGCCACACCAACAGTGCCTTGCCACACACCTTCCCCCTTTAAATGGTACCTAGGGGGTTTCCCCTGCTATTCCTCTAAAGCAGGCTCCTGCTGGAGCCTGTGGGAGCCCCCAAATGGCAAGCACCCTCAAAGATGCTCCGCCACACACTGTCACAGAGCACTTAGGTGCCCTGCTCCTAAAGAGGGGAAACTGCTGGGGAAAGAGCCCTAGCAGTGAGTAAAGAGCACAGCTGTTGGTTGCCAGGGCAACTGGAGCTAGCAAGAGTTCACACCTGCCAGCGGTCAGCAGACTGTAAGGGCCAGGGCCTGGCTCCCTTATAAACTCTAGGGGCTGAGGCCAGAAGGCAGTTTTCCTGCCAGCAGCCCAGGAGGAAGGAGCTCTCTGCCATGGAAGAGAGGAGAAGCCTAAATGCAGGAGCAGCGTCTGTCACTGTGGTGGGATGAAGTATCCCCAGTAGGCTTGAACGCGGTTATAGCCAGGTGGCTTCAGTTTATGTCATAGCCAAGGGGCTTGCGTTTAGGAATTCCCAGTTTGCTGTTTGTCACCAGTGGTTTGGGTTAGGCTATTAGGGGTTGGAGGAGGCCTCATAGGGGACCCACAGCAGTGTGGGAACCCCAGCGCCAGCAAGGGCGCAGCATTCAGGATGCACTGACCCCAGCCCCAGAAAAGGGGCAGTTGAGGAGCCCCAGAAAGGGGCATTGCTGAGAAGCCCCAGTGCGGGCGTGGTGAGCCCCAGGGAAGGGGGCAGCATTGTGGTGAGCCCCAGGGAAGGGGGCAGCATTATTGAGAAGGCCCAGAGAGAAGGGGGCAGCATTGTGGAAGAGCCTCAGAGAGAGAGGGGGCATTGCTGAGAAGCCCCAGAAAGGGGGCATTGCTGAGAAGCCCCAGCGCGGACGTGGTGAGCCCCGGAGAAGGGGGCAGCATTACGGAGGAGCCCCAGGGAAGGGGGCAGCATTACTGAGGAGCCCCAGAGAAGGGGGCGGCATTACTGAGGAGGCCCGGAGAGGGGGCAGTGCTTTGAGAAGTACCAGAGACAGGGCGCGGAGAGAGACAGGGCTGCAGAAAGCCCAAGCGCCAGAGAGGGTGTAGACCGGGACCGAACAACATCTATTCCATCTGTGAGGCTTGGGGCATGGTAAAGGGGTGGTTGGAGCCACACATAGCCCATAAGGCTAGGGTGCCCCTGAAGCACCCATTGTAGAGTGGGACCCACGAGGGGTGTGGTAAACCATGGGGTCCAAGTAACCAGCGAGAAGTGACCAAGAGGGCATAAAAGGCAGCTTCCCAAATATATGGTGTCATCAAAGATGTGGCGGGTGAGAATTTGAGGGTGCCTTTGGGCCAACTTGGCATGGGAAGGGTGCCTTGAGGAGATCACGGCCCTCCTGTAGGACCCCACCGTGACACACAGCTTCCCCCTTTGAATGAACTTGGGGGGAGGGGGGCGGATGTTCCCTAGGCTACCTTCTCTGCTTGGCTCTGCCCCAGCCTTTTGCAGCCTCTGCCACATGGCGAAATCCCCAAAGGTGCTCCGCCACAACTATATTGAGGAATTGGGGAATATCATAAAGTTGCATCAAACATGTCACGGGCAACTGGTGCTGCCTTAGTTGGGGGGGCATGTGCCTCCGCCCTGCAACCAGTCCTGCAGACCAGGGGGACAATCCTGCTGACTAGGGGGAGAGGTCCCCCGTGGGTGATCTTGAGGACCAGGGGGGTCCCCCCGGGGTGTTCTCACAGCAGCCAATTGCTGCAGCCACTTCTGGGAGTGGCTGCAGTGGTCAGCCAGTGCTTGCTCCCAGAAGCAGCCGCAGTCACTCCGGGAAGCAACTGCAGCAATTGCAGTGATCGGCTGGCTCTTGCAGGGGGGACACCGGTGCTCCCACCTGCCCCCCCCACCCATCACCTAAGTGGTGAGTGCAGCCAGTCTGGGGGTGCACCAGCACTCTCAGGGGGTGCACGTGCACCTCTATGTACCCCCTATGCATTGCCACTGTAACGTGTGCTTCTAACATATTGTATCTGCTTCTGTACTCCAGTTGGTGTGTTAGTTTTTTATACATTATTTTTCTGCCATAAAAAAAATACTTTGTTGTGTGTTTGTGAACAAACTGAATTACCATAAGGTGCAGCAGGAAGGAGAGAAACTGTGTGTTCTGGGGGGGAGGTGGAATAATTGCTTGGAAACATTGTAAACAACAATACCTCAGCAGGCTCAGCAGAGGTGACAAGAAGTTTCTGTTCATAGATCATAGAGAGGTACAGCTGGAAGGGACCTCATGAAAATTCATATGTTGCAAGTTTTATTTGCATTATAAATCAATGTAAAAATAACTATATGATAAATGGTGGGAC